TGCTGCACACATGGGAGGCAAGTGAATGGGTGCCACCGCAGCAGCAGGGGTGAAGATAAGGAGCTGGGGACACTCGGGGAATGGGGCCCAATGAGTAAGAGCACATTGCCTATCCATCAAAACCTGGAACTGAACACTGGCAGGTCTACGGAGCTTTTGAGGGCAGGCCCATTTGTTCTGTTCTCCAATCTGTCATGCATTTACCCATGCTCCACATGTGACCCACCAGTGTCAGAAAACTGCTTGCCTGTGTATGTTGCAAATCAGCTGGGAATTGGTCGTTTATCATCACAACGTATTGGCATTTAATGCCACCAAAGCAAAGGACACACAACCGGAACACAAAATTCATGGAGCACTGCTCTCATTAATTCTCCATTAAAAACAAATCTGTGGTGGACTCAGTTGTTGGCAACTTTCCCTATAATTTATTTCATTTCAATCCCAACTTTTCCTCCAATAAGTTTTGGGTGACATACATAGTTTCTCCCCCCCCCCTTTATCCTGCCAATGGCCACATGAGGCAGGTTAGGCTAAGAAATGACAGTCCTAATATCACCCAGGAAGTTTCGTGATTGAGTTGGGATTTGAATACTGGTCTTCCAGGTCCCAACACTTGAACCACTAGACTGGTGTTTCCCAAACTTGGGTCTCCAGCTGTTTTTGGACTACAACTCCCAACATCTCTAACTAGCAAGCCCAGTAGTCAGGGATGATGGGAATTGTAGTCCAAAAACAGCTGGAGACCCATTTGGGAAACCCTTCACTAGACTGAAGCCAGTAGGCTCAAACTCATAACCCAGATGCTTATGGGTGGTGACTTCAACCCTGCTTTCTGCTGAGATCAGCTGGGTCTCTACCACCTGCCCTGCATCTGACAATCATATATGACACCAGGTGTGGGGCAAGTGGGCATGGTTTGCATTAATCAGCTTCACAATCTGAACTGGGGACTGTGTCAAGCCAAATTTGGCCCACAGACTGGAGGTTTCCCACACCTGCATTAACCCATAAATAAGCCTAGCAGAAAAATCCATAAACAAACCCACTAGATAACAGCCTCTAACAAACGGTATCAACTGGCTCTGGCTCTACAACAAAATCCTTGAAGTGGTTTAAATGCCTTTTGGATTGTCACAATTTCACTGGGAGAGCTAAAGAAGGAATGCAGTAAAAATCCCCATTAAGACAAGATGAAAAATGGATTCATCAGCTAAAATCCACATTCAGAAATGCCATGGGGATAATGCTCAACCCAATTTATTGCACACATTTACAATAGGCTAGTAGCCTGGGAGAACACTGGGTTTCTAAGAAAGAAAAGCTTACAAAGCACATCGTCAGGATAGATAGCGAGATTATGAAACCTCAACAAGTGCTTTAACAGCACATTCTAAGAGCACAAGTCTACTCAGAAGTAAACCCCATTGAGTTCAAAGGTGCTTACTCCCAGGAAAGCAGATATAGAACTGAAACCTTAAAGTACCATTTTAAGGAGGCTGTTTGGGAAAACGGAAAAGAGAAAACACTTATCACTGGGGAAACAAAAGCAAAAACCCTGCAACCCAAACAAACCACTGCCTTTCTCTCATTTACCACCACCCCCTTTTCTTTTCTCACATTCATGCACACATTTTCTCTTCTCTACTCCTTCTGTGGCTGCCACATTTTTGTTCACATATTCATGTGCAAATGCTCACAAAATGTCCACCGAAGGCTGCTGCTCAGTGACAAACGTAGGAGAAAGAAGCGCTCAGCACACAGCTTAGAAAAGGGAGGCCTTGGTGAGAGAGGCCCCACCCCACCTTGGCTTGCACACAGAGCTCCTTCAAAAATACAAACATTTTGCATCAGCCACTACTATCCTTTGTGGAAATTAAGCAAACATACACATCCCTGCTTTGCTATTATTATTATTTAACATATTCTGTACTTGAAACCCAGGTTACCTAAAAAGTACAGAATGATGTGTCAGAACAAGAGGGATGGATTTTGGAAAACAGATGAATTATGAGTTTTGCAGGACAGGAGCGTGGTTACAGGAACAGAGGCAAGAACATGAGACTATGATCAGGTCCAAGAATTAGCCCAGGAATAATAATAATAATAATAATAATAATAATAATAATAATAATATATTATTTATACACCGCCTATCTGGCTGGGCTTCCCCAGCCACTCTGGGCGGCTTCCAAAAGAATATTAAAATACTATAATACATCAAACATTAAAAGCTTCCCGAAACAGGGCTGCCTTCAGATGTCTTCTAAAAGCCTGGTAGTTGTTTTTCTCTTTGACATCTGGTGGGAGGGTGTTCCACAGGGAAGGCGCCACTACCGAGAAGGCCCTCTGCCTGGTTCCCTGTAACTTGGCTTCTCGCAGTGAGGGAACCACCAGAAGGCCCTCGGTGCTGGACCTCAGTGTCCGGGTAGAGCAATGGGGGTGGAGACGCTCCTTCAAAGGAATGGCTCCTCGGGGTCTTGGGAGAAGGGTTTTCCCACCACTGGTCCTGAGAGATGGCACACACTGAACCTGGGACCTTCTGCATCCCAAGCAGATGTGCACTACCCCTGAGCAAAATTTCTTGTAAGAGTTTTCTGAGGGAAATATGCCCCTAACCACATGCATACAATTTTGCCACACACAAATAGCATGGAGAATTTGGAAAGGCCATTGTAGTTCAGCTACAGGAAAACCCTCATGGGCATCAACAGGTTGCTGGAGGACATGCTGATTTTCTAGCTGGGGGAAATTTCCTTCCTTCCTTAACCTCTTCTCAAACAAAGCCTCATTTAATTAATAGGAACTTCTTAAGGATCTGTCTCCTGGGCAACTGATACCAATCCACACTCAACATAAAACAAACCAATGTGCTTCCAATCAGCTCCAGAGCTCCCATAGATAAGAGCTACACTTAGCTAAGTCTATCTCACCTACTAACATGTTTCCAACACTGACCAATTTCAGATCTATCAAAAGAAAAGGAAACAATTAGAATGTACAGTGGTGATTCCATCATCATTTTATTCAGTTACTATTCTTTGGCTATTCACCATTCAAGTGCCTATGATCAATTTAATCCATTTTAAGTAAGTTATAGTGTGGGCCAGAGCATCCCACAACCTACTTTGAAATACTCAGTATTTTTAAGAGCTGACCTCTTTCTTATAGCTCCTACATATGAAAGCTCTGTCAACTGGCTGTAAGAAATATTTACTTATTAACTACACATCCATGGAATGGTTGCATGAGAACAGCACATTTATTCTCAGAAGTCACATTGAGTGGGGAACCAGACAACAGATCCATACTGTTCAAATCATTTTTCAGTAGTATTCTTCTTCAGTACTTCAGTACAACAGTATTCTTTTTCAGTATAAAAAAATTCAGTGGCCTGGCTGCACATAATGGAAAGTTTTCTTGCATTTTCAAGAAGAAACACCTGCTAATTTGTTTAAAATAATAAAATGTGATACATCTAACACTTCGTTTTGCCTTGTGCTGTCACTAAAGGAGAGAAAGTTTTTTTTCACTAAAAGCTTCTTAGTTGTTTGATATGAAAATTTAAAGTATAACAACAACGTAATGCTGGTTGTTATTAGCATCATCATCATGACTGTTCATTATTATTCAGTCCTCGGTCAAAAGCTCCACATGTGCTCAGAGATGCATGTGGAGCTTCAAGGTAATTTAAGCTCTCTTTCCATCCTAGTAGGTGGGCCAGCTTCAAGTGTGATTTTTTTTTGCTGTCCACCTTGCCAATCGAATAGAAGGTGAGCTGCCCTTACATGAGTTGATGCGTTCAGGACCGGAAGAAATTGTTGGAATGAGACAAAAGGGTTTGGGAAAGTAATGATAAAACAATTGCCTTTATCTGAGACATTAGTCAGGTTTCCAAAACAGCCTTCCACACTATTTAGCTTGCTGGTTCCTCAACAGATACTGAGTCCTCACACCATAAGGATTTAGTTGCACTGTGGAGTGCATCTCCCTCGAACAGCATCCCTGCCCCAAACCTCCTGGTTCTTGCACCTTTCCCCTTTTCTATTTGCCAACAGATATATTAGCATTACATCACCCATATCAACATGTTTTTCTGAACATTTATGACATGTGCAATTTGAGAATCAAATGTATTTACACTGTCGTTACTGCATGAGGGCAACACCTTCTTTGTATTGTATATACTTCATTAAAATACAAAGACGCAGCACTGCAGTGGCTCTCTTTTTCCAATAAGGATTAATGCTACATAGATGCTCTGGGCACATAGTATTACGGTGAGATGTGTTGATGGCATTGCATTATCTCTCCAAATACAGTACAGTTGGGAGTTAACAATGTGTATGGAATACAAAACAGGCTATATAAAGATAACAGGTCGATGCAAAGCTAATCAATGATGCCCACTTTTCAGCATGCTAGTCGAAAGCTACGAGGTTTGATTATGAGTTTCCCAAAAGCGATCACTTCCCAGAAGCCCATTTATAGGGGAGGGAGGAGATGAAGGCACTGAATGACCCTCTCTGCATTATTTTACCTGCTCATCTATAGAAGGTTAGTGTAATATTGAATAACCAATATGGATTACAGATATTAACCACACTCCTGAGAATTGTAAAATAAAACACCCCAAATCATCACAATCTCAGAGCAGGCACAGAACGCCAATGATTCATAAAATCATTTTAGCGGATCAGACGCAGCTTTATTTCTTCCCCCACTAAATTTGAGTGAAGAATCTGTTGAACAGACTCTGCCATTTTGCGGACTTCAGTCACGAACCATTTCCCAGGTTTAGGTGGTGTGTCTGCTGGGCTTTAAATCTCTCTCTCACACACACAAACACACAGGAAACAGTCAATCCCTTTTTATAAGGTAGCATTTAATTGGAACCATAGCTGTGCTTTAAAAAAAAATGCTTCCAAGGGACAACAGAACAAACTAGTGGGAAGACAGTGTTGCCTGCTCCTGTTTTTGTTCTGTTCTGTTCCATTTACCTTTTCCGGAGCTGGGAACTGCAAATGATTTACTTCCAAGGGTGTTATCAATGGAACCGTCTGAAAGCCATCCTCATTGGACGGCTGCTGCTTGTTCTTGTCATTCAAATTGCTCCCAAGTTTCACCATCCTTAGACCTCACTTTCCAGACCTAAAAACATATAGAGACGACGTTAAGAGGGAGGGAGGAAACTGGAAATTAAGAGAGATGTTGCTTTGCCTTGCTTCCATCAACCTTGCCTATCACCCCTTCCTTCCCATTTGGATGTCTCTGCTAGATCGCTGGGGGAAGTTACTGGTGGGTGCGGGGGAAGCATCTCACATTTGGTAGCAATCTCTGGGCACCATTTAAAACAACAGAACATCATTACCAAGCATGCTTCTTGAGCCACCTTCCAAGAGAGCCCAGATCAAGCCTCCCCTTGCTTAGATCCAAACATAATAAGCAAAGCGATAAATCACGATCATGTCAGATGAGCGAACCCCGCCTTGCTGCTTTGTTCGAAATCCAAGGAAACCAGGAGACTTGCACAAGGAAAGGGTGGTTCTGGCCTGGGGCTTTTGTGTGTGCGTGTGTGTGTTGCGCTGTGCGTTGTTGTTTTAATCACGACTGCTGCATTAACCCCTTGGGGTGTGGTGTTTAATCAGAATCATTATTTTAGCCATCCCCTGTTCTGAGCCTGCCGTTCGAGGGTGGACACGCTTGCGTCTGGGGCTGCATTTTGAACAGGAAGGGAATCGGAAAGCCCTCGTTTTCTCCGGAGAGCTGATAAATCTGCGCCAGGAGTGCTGGGCGGGAGATGCAGAAGCAAACGTGCGCTTCACCAGCGGAAGGACCGAGCCAAACGCCCACGCAAGACCCCCAGCCCAGCCCAGCCCACCCACCTCGGAGCCCGCCAGTCTCCCGCGCTGGCTACTTACTGCAGGGCACGCCGCGCTCTCAGAAGGAGGTTCTGTCCGGATTGCGCAAAAGGGCTGGCTCTGCTCTCCCCCCGCGCTCTCGCCTAGGTGGTGCTGAACGGACAGCGCTTCGCTCCTCAGCCCGGCTGCTTGCAAATGCTACTGAAGGCGAAGCTGCGACCGAGTGCGCAAGAGAAAGGAGCTCGAGCCTGCGGGAACGCAAACGCTCGCAAGCTGGGGCGGCGGCTTCTAGGCGGGATCTGGCGCCACCTGCCGCCTGCAGAGTGGAGCCGCAAGAGCTCGCCCAGAAAGCGAGGCATTTACCCACCGCGACGCCTACAGGCAGCTCGGAGAAACCCGCGGCTGGATTTCTGGCCCGGCATCGCATGCGCGTCTCCAACAAGTGGGCGGGCATCGTCGTCTGCCTGGTATGATGTCATTTGCAAACGGGCACGGCTCCGGCGTTAGACAGGGCGACGTGCAATATCTGTGGCTGTAGCAGGACGAGCCTTGTCGCCAAAGAACCTTAGGCAGGAAGAGAGCATTGTCCTTGGCGGATTAATGGAACGGGGAAGAGGGGGGATGGTTTGTGATTTTGCTGATCATGAGCAATAGGCGAACTAGAGGCAAACCTCGAGATATAAAAAGCAAAAGCCACTGGGAACCAGTGGGTAAATCTGAAGAAATACGTTTAGCCTTCGAAAGAGTATGCTGGCGGGAAGGGGACAAGGGGCTAGTTGCAACACAATGCACAATGTACGTGTTGATTCAAACCAGGTTTTCAGATTCCTGCATACAGGGGGTTGGACTTGATGATCCTTGGAGTTCCTTCTAATTCTATGAATTCTGGGGACTTGCTTCTAAGTGAACGTGCTCAGACTATCAGATGAGGAAGAAGATAAGGGCTTCTTTTCAGCCTCCCAGTGGAAAAGTCAGTAATATATCCAGTACCACAGACATGAAGATGTCAAGGACTGTATCTGCTCAGACTTTAATTGCTCTAGCCAGCTGTTCATCTGTCTTCCTACCAGGCATTTCAGCCCAGCCCGAAGTACAGCTATGTTTAATCACTAAACAACATGGTGACTAGTACAGTGACTTTCAGCCACTGGTCTGGACCCCTGTGTTGATTCCCAAATTCATTTCGTTGGAGAGGAAAATGTGGCAAAGGAGCCAATCCACTTTGCCACTTCTGGTGGGAAGTAATTTCAAATAAAAGAGAATTCCATAGTGCTGACAAAACTGATGCTGTTTTCACATTAAACACCAAACATCTTTGTACCTCTGCTGTGCTACTTGTAGCATGAGTGAATGTTCTTGATGCAAGATAGAACAAAAACAGCATGTACATTTTTGTCAGTGCGTGCTTCATAATTGCATTTGTATGTTATAAAGGGAAAAAGGCAATTAAAGCTTGTTGTAAAAAATATAGTTTACCATCCCCTACTTAGAGCCTCTTCAGTTGCACATTACATTTTTAATAGCACGGTTAAGTGTGTGTGTTTTAATTAAAGTGCACACCTAACAATGCAAAGTGTGAATGTGGCAGGCAAGTGTAACATCATCCAAAGCTTGGATTAGTAATGGTTCTCTGGTGATCATACACTGGATGGGAAAACTGGATGGGAAAACTGGGTTGTTACATAGGAGCATGAAACACAAACATACACACCTCCATCCAGGCAAGCAAGCAAACAGTGTTTTCATAGTATAAACACATTCTAGCTGGGTAAAAGTACTTGGGAGGGTGCAGAGCAGGACCAGTGAGTGTGGTGCAAGCCACAGGGGTTAGACAGAGATGCCTGGAGGGTTACATGCAGCCCCTAGGTCTAAAGTTCCTGGAGAGGAATAGAGGGGGTGAAAACATAGCTTAAGGTGAGCTGATTTATGTCTACTGATGGAAGATAACTTCAGCTCTTATGCTGAAGGTACAAGATCCAGATATTTCAGACTAGACCCCACATCCAGAAACACACTGGAAGAGACATGGCTCCCCAGTGGTCCTACCTTTGGTTCCCTGCCTGTTATGGACATTTGGAAATTAAGAAGCTAGAGGTGAGCAATGAGAGAAAGGAATGAGCAAAGCAAGAGGTGACAAAAGGACACGAGCCTGGCTCTTTCTCTTATTTTCATGATATCTGAAAGCATGTAAGAGGTAACAATGAGCGAAGATGAGACCAAGATTGAATTTAATTATTTGTTGGACATCAGAGGAAGCATCTCTTGACTACTTATTGCGGGACAAAACCACCATTCCATCCAGCATGATGCCTGAATGCAACTCAGGAGTTAAAAACATAACAAAAAAAGACTGGCATTATTACTTGGAGGCCAGAGCCACACATGTAGCAACATCTAATTTCTATAATTTCAGAGGTGGTGGAAGGCAAGACAATTCCAGAAGAAGAAGAAATAGTTTGGGCTTTTCTTATTAAGGCTGTAGAAACCCCTATAGCGATTTTAGAAGTTTTAAAGGTTGATTTTAGGGTTGAAAACCCTTCTCTTTGAAACTTGCCAAATCAATTATTTGCACATTTATGTGACGTAGCACTAATGAGTTGGTATAAACTGGATGCTTCGTGTTTAAAGCTGTCAGCCCTGCCCAAAGACTTAGAATGAAATCTCAGTGGAGACACTATTAAGGCAGCAGAAGGCAAAGCAAGTTGGAAACAACAAATCAAAGCAAAACTTGAAGATGTTATCGCATATTAGTTGTAATCTGACATATCTACCCACACAGGGACAAGACTTATTCGGCTAACAGAAAAACATGCCTGTGTTTTTAGTCTTTTAATAAGAGTTTCACAGTGCTTTTTTTTATCAGGCTAAACAAATCATAGTAGAATTGCTATTTTCACTATCACTTCTGATGATCCCATATGCTTAAGGGTCTGGTCCACCCATTTCAGCTGCCCTTAGCCTTGGATCTCCAGCATCTCTAATATTTCTAAGCAAATGGGCAGAAAAACCAACAAAGTCATCTCTTCTGCCTGCTTTTTAAAGTCTGGAAATAGCACTGGTGACACTTATATTACCTTGCTAATATTTATTTCCTTAACTTTCCCAGCCATGTTTGAAACATGAATAAGCAAGCATATTCACTCACATCTTGGACTCTAAATAACTCTTTTCCTTATCATGCACATCACAGAAAATAAATCATTATTTAAATTACACATTGTATATCTACAGTGGCTACACATGTACATATGCCAGCAAAATCAGTAGCAGGTCAGCTGTGCTACATCTTGACAGAATTCTGCGGCTCTCTGTCCTCTCTAGAAATACTAATTATTGCATTCACGACTACAGTATTTTTTTCTGCTACACCACTATTCTAGGACTATGAGGATAGGGACACTTTGGCCTACAAGCTGGTGATTCCACATCCTTGTTCTACAAGACGGCTCAGTCTTGCTGTGGCTATAATGAGTTCCCATGCCAGAACTACTGCTTCAAAAAGGCATGTGATACTGGAAGGTAACTCTCCATAACAGGCTGGAGATGCATTTAGTCACCAAAGCCATAAGCTAGGTGGTTATATACTCACCACAGGCTTTGGCATGCACACAGTGTCTACCCACAGACCTATATTCACTGTATCAACTAGTACTAGTCAAACCATTGGTCCATCTTAATCAATATTGTCTACACCCAAGTGCCTGGGGGTTGAATACAGCTCTCGAGGTTTCCCTATCTGACCCTTGGGACTGCCACTGTCCCCCTAGCCTCCCCAAGCCACACCCCTCACTGGCCACACTCCACGTCCTCCTCAAGGGCTTTTGTCAGTCTGGAATGTGCCTTTGCAATGAGACAATGCATCTTTCTTGGCTGGAGAATGGAGAGATGGGGGGAAGCAGAAACCTCTGAGTTTTGCAGGGGTGGAATGCAGCCTATTGTATAAAAGTAAGAGTCATACCTATTGCTTTACTGACTTCTGGCTCTGGCCCCATTCACCTCAGGCATGTGGTCTCTGGAAGGTTCCACATGAGGGAATGTACAAAGTCTCTTTGTACAAAGAGAGAGAGCACAAGGAACTGAGCCAGAAATTTTTCAAAAGGCAAAATTAACCTAAGATTTTAAAACACCATTCACTGTTACCATTTTAAATAAATACATCTATACTTCCTATGTCGTTGCTTTCTGTATTAATCTCAAAGGTTGTTTTGCTCATTTGAGTACACTGAAGTATGACCCTTGGATTCTATTCGTTTGTAGTTTAGTACTGTTTATACACCAGTCAACATTTTAAATCAAAATTTCACGTAACTGACTTACTAACCTAGTTTCTACAATATATTTTTCTTTTCTAAGGAATTGTTGGTAATTATCCCTGCTGGAACATTGATTATTTATTTGTTTGTTCATTCCACCTATCCAGCTGTGTCCCCTAGGCAGTTCAGAGCATGTTAAAAACAATAAATCCCCATCATGAAAAACCAACCATACAAAACATTTAAAACAGTATGAAAACAGAAGCTGGAAGTTTTGCACCAGCATAAGCCCACATACAAGGACAATTCTAATTCAAGATCCAAAGTTTTTTTGGGGGGTGGGGTACAGTTAAAAGCGTATTAAAAGGCCTGTGATACTTAACCTAGCACCCAAGAGAATAACATAGGCACCAGGTGAGCCCCTCTGGGAAGGGCATTCTGTAGACAGGATATCACCAACAAAAAGGCCAAATTCCTAGTAACCACTCAAAATAGGTGGGGAAATTTGAAGCCTCCTATGCAAATATGGGACGTGGGTGGCGCTGTGGGTTAAACCACAGAGCCTAGGACTTGCCGATCAGAAGGTTGGCAGTTCAAATCCCCGCGACGGCGTGAGCTCCTGTTGCTCGGTCCCTGCTCCTGCCAACCTAGCAGTTTGAAAGCACGTCAAAGTGCAAGTAGATAAATAGGTACCGCTCCAGCGGGAAGGTAAACAGCATTTCTGTGCGCTGCTCTGGTTTGCCAGAAGCAGCTTAGTCATGCTGGCCACATGACCCAGAAGCTGTACGCCGGCTCCCTCGGCCAATAAAGCAAGATGAGCGCCGCAACCCCAGAGTCGGTCATGACTGGACCTAATGGTCAGGGGTCCCTTTACCTTTACCTTTACCTTTACCTTTACGCGAATATTAAGACTTGGTGGGAACATTTGGTGGAAGATGGTCAATGACGTAATCAGGCCTCAAGTCACTTAGGGAGAAACACACCCACCCAGTAAAGCACATGGGGGGAGAAGACAGCGAATCGTTTCATCCAGCAAGCTGAGATGCTTCTGCCTATGGAATGATCTCCGGAGAGCTATAATGAATCCCTCCTTCCATTTCTTTTTAAATTGTCACTTAAAATTTTAAAGATGGCACCCTGTCTCTCCCCATACCCTTGCAGAGGACAGACTATAAGGAGCTGAGAAATGTATCAAAGTCTGACAGGGGAGAATGAGAGGTCTTGGAGATAATTAATGAGTTGGCAATATAAATAAAAGAAGAGCCCTACTGGATCAGACCAAAATTTATTTATTTATTTATTTTTATTATTACTATTATTATTATTATGGCCTCAGAAACTGTATGACTCTTGAACTATGATCCTCTGCTATGAATCTTGGGACTTCCAGGCAATTCCACATAGAAGGAAATGAGTTGGTATGTACCAGGAGAATGAAAGCTGGAAGGAAGTGAAACCTTCCTCTAACTCCCAGTAGACTCATTAAGCTGAATAGTTCTTGGACTCCTGCTTGTGCTAATGAGACACTGCATCCCAACTTCTACACCATCAATTCATAATGTGTTGTTATTATGACCCTGTAGTATTACCCACAGTCCACTGTCCTTGAGGATGACTACCCTGTATATTTTTGAAATACATTATGAGATTCAGGTAAGATTCAGGTGCACCATTACAGTGTAATGGAAACAGGAATTAAACTCAGTTTTGAGATACAAACTCCCAGACCTGTACATTTACTTCATTGATCCATACTTTATTATGAGAAGCTGATTAGTACAGTACATGCACATAAAATCAACATTAAAATACTGCATTGTATTCCTTTATGAGCACCTAAACCCAAATGCAAAGCTGATTTGCTTAATCACATTTAAACAATATCAAACTTACATTACAATTAACCTATTACATGAAAAACACATAAATTGTTCCACATAACATGTCTAGTATTTGTATTCCAGTACCTCTGACGCTAAGAATCTGTTTCTCCTGTATAGTTAAAGGATTACTGGAAAACAGCTAAAATGCAAAACCTGAACTAAATCTTCATTTCCTTGTTGCTTTGTTTCCTACACCCATCCAAAAATGGCTTCATCCTAATGGAAAAGGGAGATTAAAAAAACCTTTGGTTATGAATCTCTTGTTTACTATAAACAGGCTTATGGAATATGGTAGTTATCTTTGGAAGAAGTCTGCTTTGCAAAGCAGCTGCTTAATTGCTCAATGCCTAGACAACTTCAGGAGTTTCTGTACTCCCGTTTCTAGTTAAGTTTGCCTGACCAGATGAGATGGGCAAATAGACAGAAGGCTCCTTTGTTCTGTCAACCATCAGCTCTTAGGATGGTTCCTGATGAAATTACAATATAGAGCAAATTAAGGAAGAACTGCAGCATAGTCAAAACATAGTGCATCCATAGATGACGTGTGGGAAATATCATACCCAATATTTCCTACATGTTAAGAGTTGTATCCTACCAGAAACATTTTCCTTCCACAGAATTCTATGAGCAGGGACTATTCTCCTGGTTTGGATCCCATATCAACCCAAAAATTTGGACTAGACTCAAATACCTCATTCCATTAGCAGAAGCCAACATAAGGATGCCCCTAGTGCAATGGGGTTTCCCCCCGTCTCCTCCCCACACCTGCTGTTGAGGGTTACAAGATTCCCCAGAAGAGTATTCCTCCGGGCAAGTACAAATCCTTGTTCTAAAAGAACAATCACCTTAGCAATATGTTGAATTCCACCCAATATTTCTTGGGGTGGTATTCAACTAGGATCTACTTTATTCATGCCCAGTAGTTTACATGGGTCTACTCTGAGTAAAACATAGCTGAATACTGCCCTTAGACTTAATTCTCTTGTTTTTAAATCATGTTGATACCACAGCTTACAAACATTTGAAAATATTTAGCTCCAAAACCTGCAAAGTATCTAGGTGAACAAAATATTTGTCTTGGCAGTAGACCAAAGAAATATAGTAAACAATGTAAATTCTGTATGGCTTTTGCCATTGCACAGTAAGATATATCCATGACTAAGATAGTTTACAAAACATAAATATACCCTTCCTACCAATAAGCAAAGCTTCTCATGGGCCACCTCTAGACAATTCACCATCAAAATGCCTCTCATATATATACCTGAGATAAGTTGATGATATGCATGTCACTTGGAATGATAAATTAACTCTCACAGAATTTTACCACAGTTAACTGAAGCATTCCAAAAAGAGCATCAACATTTGCAGTGCTAAATATATGAAGTATACGGTCCATTGTCATCGCTGATTCTACAACTTTTGCTTACCTCTCTGTGAAAGTGTAGCCCTTATTAAATAATTTTCTATCACCATTATGTAATTGAAGCAGAGTTTTACTTACAGTGTCAATGCAGGAAGTCTCGTTTTGTACATTCCCATTTACATCTCTCCCTGTGGAAGAATTTCATGAGAACAAATATATCGCTTTCATTTGTATTGGAACTCTCATTACATTTCATCTGAAGCAATCTATGGTATTAAAATTGCAATAATCACCTTTAAAGAAAACAATTTACAGAAATAGCAAAATGTGGCATTAATAATCTTGCTTTTACTATATAAACAAAAGTGCAAAACAATAACTTCTTGGTGCAAAACAGAGCCTTCTTGATTCAGACATGTTGTTCTGCATTTGCAGTTCTACTGTGATTACTCCAATGTATTTTTACTACTTATCTGATAAAGAATTCACATCAATAGGAGACTTATCTCCTTAGTGCAATATTGTGCAAAATCTGCTAATTAGAAAGAAGGCATTCGAATCAAGTGCTTTCAGCTAAATAGAGTTTAATAAGTGAGCCACTATTAAAGCTCTGCAAAAATGAACTACAATTAGCACTGAGGGTAACATAATGGCGCCTTTCAAAAAGAAGCAAATTATAGCCAAAGATTATTGCCACTATGTAATTTCTAATGGATGATAACAACAATGGGCATCAGAAAACACAAGTAAGGGGGGGAAATACCAATGTCCCTTCCTTCCTCCTGGTGTACAATCAAAGCACTCAACTAGGCCACGCTTACTATTGTCAAAGCCAGTGGAAGAGGGATGCATTTTTAAGTGATTCATATCTGTCAAGACAGAATGTTAGCTTTGGGCTTTCTTTTGTTTTTAAATAAAACACAAATGCTCTGGAAAACCCTATAACTCTTTTTTGTAATTTAGTGAGAAAGCAAGGCAGAAAAAGGCTGTAGGGAACCTCAAGTATTATGAATCACAGCTGCAGCAGCTGTAAACCGGGCCAACGGAACCTCAGTCACAAAGACCACAAATTAGTTCCTCTGCTTGCATACAGGTATTGCAGTGGTTTGGGAATACAGGAACAGAGAGGGAACATATAAATAATACGACATTCAGAGAGTGAAATCCACCAAAAAGCCCCACTGGGCATAGTTTAATTTGATACACACTTACCTGGAGTAAATTCCACTGGGTGGTATTCAACTAAGTTTTACTTTGAATAGACCCACTGTAATTAATGAACATGATTTAGTTGGATCCATTCATTTCAACAGGCCTACTCTGAGTAAAATTGGTCGATTACTTAGAAGTGAACTCTGTGGAGTTCAGTGAGTGGTAAACACACATAGGAATTGGAAGTCCCACTCAAAACCATGGGATTTGCTTTCAGTCTAGGAGTGGGGCAGAAGTACCTATTACTTATATTCTAAACGACTTGTTGAATTTTGACTACTTACCTGAGCTCATCAGAGGAAATTAGATACTGGTTTAATACCCTAATCCTATAGTGAAGCAGCAATCCTATACACACTTATCTGGAGAAAGCCCCACTGAACACAGAGTGACTTACAGTAAAATCTTATGTATTTTTACTTGGAAGTAAGTGTCAAAATCACTGTCATGGTACTGTCAATGTTTATGCTACTGTAATTGAAACCATGCTACTATAGCTGAAACCAGTCTACAATATTGGACTTTCCTAATAGATAATTAGAAATTCTAGCTAATTTAAGTTAGGCTATTTGGAGTTATATGGAATGTGAACAACAAAAGGAAATACAAAACACTGCTAACAGAAACTACCAATGGTTATTTCAAAATACCAATGCATATTCTATACTCACATAGTTTGCAGACCTCTATTGACATTAATGTAAGCTCAGCAGACAAACTGAGAATATGTCACTTTAAATTTAACACATAACACTTAATGGATTGGTAAATCTGTTTCCTAAAACTAATTAAACTGTGAAGCCAGAAATTCCAATTATGATTGTAAGCATAATATTGTGTTACTTTGAATTGTGCAGCAGCTACAAAGCTCTAATGGAAACTGCATCAATAGAATGTCAGTTTTAATTCATGCTTCATTTCCATCCATCCATTCATCATTCATTTGCATCCAGGCCTCAATTAGGCCGCAAATATTCTAATATTATATTAGTGTAAGTCATAGCCAGCATTCATTGGAAGCTCACTTATTTATGTAATACTCATATATTATAGGCAGTCATCTTCTAATTTTACAGAAGAAACTCATTTTCATGATAGATTTTGTATCAAACGAGTATGGCAGCATCTTTGTGCATCTCTCTTTTAAAAAATGTTTTATTTGATTTTACAAGTGAAAGGTTATAACAATGCCAAATACATAACCATATATAGAGATTTCTCTGAATCTCCAGACTTCCCACCCTCCCCTCCACGGGTCCTACTGTCAACATTTTCAACTGCAAAATATTTCATCATCCATATTTTGTATCTCTCCATATTGTCCATAGTATTTGTTACATTACAAGTGTTGTTAAAATCCTGCTAATGTTTTCATCTGCTTACAGTGGTCTCCTAAATAAAATTTTCCCATTCCTTCTTGAAGTTTGTTCATCTCTCATTCATAGCATTGTAAAATGAAAGTATGGAAAGGAGAGGTAGATGGTGTCAGCTGTGATAGCTAGTTTAATCCTGGAAAAGTAGCAAGTATCTCTTTTGCTAGGGAAGTTTAACTGTAAATTCTGCCCTCAACACCATCCCAGAGGCTCCATAGAAAAGGAGTGACATTGTTATTTAAAGCAATATAAAATGAATACAGAAGGTAAACCTCAGTCACCACATGTCAGAACACATGTAAAATACTACTTCTGGACAATTAGTCTGATAAATATCCAAAAGTGTTTTATAAATGTGGAATAGGTACTGAGAATAAGTGGTATCTATCTCTTATATTCAAATATAATTTATGGAAGGTATTGGGGCACTAGTGCCTATGCAAGCCTGAGGCAGTTAGGGCTTTCTCTGTCCAAACTGTGGGTTTGAGTTCTGCCTGCAAGATTAGAGGAAGCACGTGTGCAATCTGCTCCCAAAGTACTTCATTGTGAACTCTCCTTCTTAGAAAAAAGCCATTGTGTCCTGTATTAACTCACTGCAGCATCACAGCAGTTTTCATAGGGAGCCCCTCATGAAACAATTCAAATTAGAACCCTATCCAACTAAATTTATCTCTGCTTCAAGTCTCATTCAAATCAGTGGAAACTCAATCATTCATGACCACCTTCTCCTTTTTATTTCAGGGGCATTAAGCCCAATTAACCTTAGTTAGATTAGGGCCACAGTTTTCAGATCCCAAGGAAACAAAGGAGTGGATGTTATTTAGCATGACAGAATGTAAAGTCCATCTTACCAGATGATACTGGTGAAATGTATGTCTGGATATCACCAGGACTTTCCACTCTGGGCATAGTAATGGAGTCAAGAGTACCACAAGAAGCTTACTTCTGACCTACCTTCACTTGGAAGTTTGCTACAGGACAGCAATCTGCTTCTAAAGTGTCCATTTTCTTCTATCATTTTAGAAATTACTTTACACACTCCAAGCCAGACTGTGGACTAGAAATAGAGATATGTGAGGTATGTCAACAGAACCACATTGCCTTACCTATTGATAAGTGTTTTTAAAATGTGAGAAGAGATAACACAAGTGTCTGTTTATTTACATTGTTAAATGACTGGCCTTAAACATTATTGTCTTTTATTTTAAAAGGTCTAACCCTAAAAATGCATTATTTCACTTTTTGGTGTTACTTATGAGCTAGCACCTCCAAATCCGGTCCCCCCCCCCCAGTAGGTATAGTCAAAGCTAGATGCTGATCACTAAAAATTGCATCTTCTAGTGTGGTGTTGTTATAAGTCTAGTATATGAGTGATAAAAGACTCATCTTTGTCCCTCCATGAAGCAAACCTCTTTCCTAACAGTATTTTCCAGAGCTATTTAGAACCAGCTTTTACATCATGGATTAGCAATAACACAGACAGTATTGACATTTCAATATTGACTGTATCTGTGTTGTCTGCTAACCTTCCAGGTCAGTATTCTTGCTTGCATTTCACTCCCAATTCCTTTTTGTTTCAGTACCAATCTTTGCATATTTCCTATTTATATTTGCTTCCTCTTTCAGAATTTCAACATAAAGGTTTTTCCCCTTAGTAAATGTTGGGCATGTACATGTGATGCTGTTTGCCAAAAAAAAGGAGGAAAGGGAACCATGAAACAGAATTCTTGAATAGCAGGGCTCCAGGACTGTAAAAAGAGAGTGTAATATTGGGCTGTAAGTTTTGACTAGGGGGATGAGATTCAAGTTCAGCTCCCTATTGAGGAAAGAAACTTGGGCTAGTCACTCTCTCACTAACCAAGCCTACCAGGTTGTAGCAAGGACAAAGAGAGAATCCCATTTACACCACCTTGAACTCTCTGGAGGCAGCAAATACACAGACCGAATGACATAGCATAGTTTGGCTTCTATTAAAATGTCACACAAAATTATCTGTGTCAAGTTGCAGAGCAGCAAAGGAATAAGAGAGAAAGGATCCATAATCAATGGTATGTGCCATACCAATGGGAAGCAGTCAACAAAAATATTGTATGTAGACTAATCATGCCAGAACTTGTATTTATTTAACAGTGGGGGTTTTTGGAATTTAATGAGATGGAAGATTTTGCATGAAAAAGGTTTGTGCATACAGATCACAGAAGGTGGTGTGGACTGTGCAGCACCTTCTCACATGAAGCAGCAGATTGTTTAACAAGCAGCCACAGGCATAGACAGATATATATATATAGTCTCACAGTCACACACATTATTTCACACATATGTGTATATTTTACAAAGAGCCCCTGGTGCTTCTAGGCACATGGGTATATGTTCCAAATGAAATGTGTTTGCCTCCTTCACAGTTTAACATGTGCATTGTGTGTACATGTTAAGAATAAAGCTCATAAATCAGCCCATAGTGGTAAAACACAACACTTCTTATAACCAATACAACTAAAGTAGAAACTGGCACTGACATCAAGCTGAAAATGTAATTCATGTACATTCAAAAACATGATGCTAATGCAGTTAAAATTACTACTCTGTGATACATTCAATTACACAATTTGAATCACATCAATGAAAGTGGCAGAAGCCTAATGATAATAAGAGAGACTACGAGTTAGCCTTACTTCTAATGCTGAATTATAAGGCAAATTCCTTGTCCTTCTTGCAAAATATTGAATAGATAAACCATGTAACAAGATGTTAAAATATTCCTTTGAAGGAAGTAGTTTTCCTCATTATTTTAAATCATGAATCAGTGACATTTGAATAAATTAAATCTGAGTTGATTACTTTACACATAATAAAACTATTAATCAGTTGTCAATTTAACAAACATGTCTGGTTTTATCCTCAGGCACTAGGTGAACTTTTCAGAGAGCACAGAATCGCATTTATGATACAGAATGAAATGTGGCTTTCTACTAATATAGACTCTAGTCTCTTTTCCAATCAATATATCCTTATATATTGCTTCCCATTCTTTGGGAGGAAAGGTGGGATATAAATTTATAATTAAAAAATTGGATGACCATTGTATTTTCCAAACTTTTAAAGCTGATCCTTCTTTTCTAAACATACTTGCCCTTCTAGAATCTTGCCCTCCTCAGCAAAACTGCACCAACTATCACCATATCAGATGATCATATGGAGATTATCATGCATAATGACAGGCATCCTACTGCTACATGTGAGAATCTGTGGGTCAGGGTGAATGGGTATAAAACTGATTGTGTAATCAGCCGTTACAGCTGCTGTGAATAGTCACTGTGCTTATTTGGTATACAGTTAGACTCAACCAAAATGTCAGTCTGTACATTTTGCATTTAATTGTCATTTAATCCAACTTTCACATTCCACCCCCCTTTAATCCAGAAGTGGGGAACATTTTTCAACCCAAGAGTCACATTCCCACAAGACCAACCTTCAAGGGGCCACATGGTAGTGGTGGACAGGGAAAAACAAGTAAAACAGGAATATAAAATCGTGAGTGTTTCTCCCCAACCCCACCCCTTCATTTCACCCCACAATCAAAGAAATATGCTACAATAGGACAAGAAAAACATGTGCTTAATTTGAGCCTGATCTTAGCCTCACCCACCCAACTGTTTTTAGTGCCTGGACGTAATTCTGCAACATGAGAAATGGGACGTGAGTGCTGTTGAGCATGGGCAGAGTACTTTCACTTCACTGCTAATTAATCACATCTGGGATTAGAGAAAGGCACTTCCAATTCACCAAAATAATTTCTAGGCAAGCTTAAACCCTGAAATCTTATCACTCTTTTCTTCATACCGGGCAGTATTTTAAATTCACCCACAACTGAGAACATAATCTGCTTTCTTAACATATTATCTTCTGAAGCAACACTCAGTGTATAGAATAAAACCTCATCCTCCATAGAGAACCACTCTCATATTACACCTTAGCAGGGTCCAATTGGGTAGGGGACAACCTCAAAGAATGCTGTAATGGCTAACCAGTTCTGGAACGGACTGAAAAGCATCTTCATTTTTTATTTCTAGTGCCATTGTGCTGATGTTCTACCTCTTTCTTTTGATGCCTGATCTCACTGTTATCAACTTCCCAGGAAGGAGGAAATTCAAATGCATCTCCTTGAGTTTCCTTGCAGCCACCTATTAAAAGAGTTGGATTTTATTTGCCACTTTGTTTGTTTCAGCTACTAATGCCAAACTGCTAACATGTGGCTGTGAGACATCACAGATTTAAATCAGATCATGTAGCTCTAATTAAAATCTTATTTTCCCCCACCTTCCCTTGCAAACATGGTGCAAGTTTAGGAGCCAATCTCTCACAAACCACTTTGAAAGATCCATATTTCATATCACTTCAAAGCATGAATGTCAGCCTTGCAGAGGGTACAGCATAATGCTGCATTACGAAGCTCATCTTGTTCTTCAGATAGTAGCTGGAAACGAAGGCAAGATGGCAATCAGAATTGGGGGCAGGGGGAAGAATTCAATATGTTTCCTGCTGCTGCTGCTGCTGTGAGAAAGGCTTTTTACTGCAGTACAAATGGGGGGAGGGTTTCTAATGTCTTTAGATGTGCTGAAAAATATCATTAGAACTACCGTTAAGGTTCTTTTTCTTCAGGGGATAGAGGGGATCTTTGGATGGGTTTGTCCTTCTACCTGCAGGACTATGCAAACAGGGCCATCTTAAGTATATCCAGCGCCGTGGTGCAAAGATCCCTCCAGCGCCACCACCACCCCCCGCCCCCATTTCCCAGAGTTGTCAACCTTATTACTTATTACTGCGCTGCTGGCAGCTTTGCAGGGCTGGAGGAGGCAGGCAGCGGCTGGAGGGTGGCTCCTCCGGCGGGGAAGAGGCAGACGCTCCGGGCGCGGCGATGCTTCAATGAGGCAGGCAAGGGCGGCGAGCTGATGCCAGGAGGCGCTGCGTCCAGCCTCCACCTCTTCCCTGGCGCCCCACACCACTTGCCTCTATGGGCAAGACGCCCCTGTATGCAAATAAAGTTGCTGCAATCCTATATCCACTTACCTGGGAGCACGCCCCAATGAACTTAATGGAAAACTATTTCTGAGGGGACATATATATCATACAATTAACTTTTTATAAGTGAATGATTTTCCAGCATTTATAGACATTGTATTACGTTCTGAAAAATAATTAATTTAAATCACGATATACTCCTTAATAGTGAAATGATTGACTAAGACTACTAGCCTAGTACATCACGTCTTCCCCAAATCTGTTCTGGAGGGTTGGGGGAAACCCTCAGAACAATGCATGGGCAAAGAGATGGGAGACTGTTCCAGGTTCCAGCAGGTGCAGGTTCTCCTGCTACTGTTACGGTGACAAGAGGAACATATTAAATGCACCAAATGGAGACAAAAGTCCTGTTGAAAAAAATTGTGTAAACAAGAAAAATTGTACTAGCTTCTGGCCCTTGTGTTTGTTTGTTTGTTTGTTTGTTTGTCTATTTATTTATTTATAAAAACTTTCCCTTCTTACATCTTAAGTTCCAAAGGCAGGCTATAATAATTTAATAGAGTTATAAAAACAGATAAAACCATTAAAATGACATTTATGTAAAGCCATTCCAAATGGAAATCTATAAAATCAGCCAGAGCCAGATCCACCCCCACACAAAAAAAAAAAAAAAAACCTGTCAAAGGCCAGAGTAGGGGATGGATCTTTAACATACAGAGAACGCTTCATAGCTGTAAAATGAAGATGTTGGAGAAAAACCTCTGCAGTAAGTTCCACAAGTTAGGGACTGTCACAGAGAAAGCTCGTTACCCACAGGCTAGTAAAACTACCAAAGGAGCCCCCTCTGCAGATCTTAACAACCCAGGTTGGCAGGAATGGGGCGTTCTTTTGGATATTTGGGGCCTAAGTCATTTAGACACTGATGTGTTTAAATGTGTCTTGAATCGGGCCTGGCAACAAACTGGCAACCAGTCTTGCATAGACACATGAAGAAACTTTTTTAAAAAAGAAGAAATCCTGAGGGCCAGGAGGTTGCTGTCTATTTATTTTAACGGGGCAAGGCTTGGTATTGCAAGCTGTTAGATGAAAAGGCAGGCCAAGCTTCTTAGTCAGCAGAACTATTTCCCACTCCTCAAGGGAGCACAATCCTATGCAAGGGGAAATCCCACATTCAAAATGGACAAGAAATGATTCCGCCCACCAGTTCCTTCATCCGGATTATTATGAGACCCTCACCACCCAAGGCAGAACCACCATGGTAGGGGATATACAAGTATTGCAAACAGGGCCAGATTTAAGTTTGATGAGGCCCTAAGCTATTGAAGGTAATGGGGTCCTTTATATGTCCAGCTGTCCTTTGTCAACTACAAATTGTCGCTGTTTTTTGTGTTGAATATATGCTATATGGTAATTTATGCACCTAATAGGTATCTAGGGACGCGGGTGGCACTGTGGGTTAAACCACAGAGCCTAGGACTTGCCGATCAGAAGGTCGGCGGTTCGAATCCCCACAATGGGGTGAGCTCCCGTTGCTCGGTCCCTGCTCCTGCCCACCTAGCGGTTCAAAAGCACGTCAAAGGGCAAGTAGATAAATAGGTACCGCTCCGGCAGGAAGGTAAACGGCGTTTCCATGTGCTGCTCTGGTTCACCAGAAGCGGATTAGTCATGCTGGCCACATGACCCGGAAGCTGTACGCCGGCTCCCTCGACAATAAAGCGAGATGAGCGCCGCAACCGCAGAGTCGGTCACGACTGGACCTTTACCTTTACCTTTACTAAGTATCTAAAGCCATTTGCCAATAACAAAATATGTATTTTATCAAAGCAATTGTTGAACTGAAATATAATTAAGACGTATATTAATAGTGAAATTGGGGGGAGGGGCAAGAGAGTGGGGCTGTAAACTATAGCTTGTTTAGCTTATACGTAAATCCGGCACTGATTGCCAACCCTCGCCATTAACACCACGAGACGATACCGGCGAGGACACGCGGCCTCCTGCCCTGCGCTCTGCTCGTACCCGCTTCTTCCTGGCCGTCGGAGCCTGTGGAGTTGACAGCCGCCGCCTTGCTGCTCCGCCCTTCGCGTGGCGACGCCGGGGGCTTGACCCCAAGCAGCCTCTCGGCTCTGGGCCTCTTCGCCTCGCCTCCTTCCTCCCAGCCTCTCCCGACCCCCTTCGCTCTCGCCTCGCCAGGGGCTTTCAGCCCCAAGCAGGGGCTCCCTCGTTCCCCGGAGGGAGGACCGGCTGCACCCCGAGAGCCTCTTCTGCCCGAGAGCGCGGCAGCGGGAGACGCGCCCGAGAGGCAGGAAGCCTCCGGGTCCCTCAGGTGGCCGCCGCCGCCGCCATAACGAATCACGTTGCCGCAGCGGTGGCTGCCGAAACTGTTCACATAAACCACCCGCCGCGACCTTCCCCTTCCCAGGCCAGAGCTGGCCTTCATCCCGAGGGAAGCGGAGCCTCGGATAAGGGGCTTTCTCCTGTCAGGAATACAAAGGGGGAGGAGTTGTGGGGTGAGTCAATGAGGAGAAGGGCGACCAATGAGGGCGACCGCACTGTCCCCTCAGAGAATCCTGGGCCCTGTGGTTTGTGCAGGGTTGTTGGGAAGAGTAACTCTGTGAAGGGAAAACTACGTTGCCCAGAATTCTTTGAGGGTGGGGGGAATGTGTCTGGAATGGGTGGGGGTGTTTCCTGAAAACTGCACAGCCTTAAGCGTTGGGGTCGAGGAACACAAAATGAGAACACACATATTCATATTAAAGACAGCTTTTCCCAAGCTGGCCTCCAAACATTTTAGGACTACAACTCCCACCATGCCTTGCCACTGGGCAGGCTAGCTGGCAGGGATGGTTGGCTGTTGGGAGCCCATTGTCATCTGGCTGTGCTAAGAATATTCCTGGGTGACTCATACTGCAGCAGCAGCAGTGAGTAAGCAACTTGTTTCCATGGAGGGGATTGAACGTCAAAATATTCCAGCTTCTTGCAGTGAAGAAAGTGCGTATTTATATTTAGCTCATCATCATCTGACAGCCAGGGTGTCAAGAAGAAGCTATCTGAGCGAGCAACATAGAGGCTCTGCATCAAGTCCATTAGAGTAGAAGCATCCAGACTGCAGTAAATGTGTTTCTGTTTTGCTTTTCTTACCAGTCCCATATGGTAAGCACAATTTGCAAACGACAGCATAAGAATCACCTTAGCACCTCTGTAGGTGCTCAGGGGGCTAAGATTTATTACAGGAAAGGAGAAACAGGTTGGCACTGGGAATCAGGGCTGCCTTCAGGTGTCTTCTAAAATTCAGATTTCCTTGACATCTGGAAATGAAAATGACAAAAGTTTATTTCCTTGACATCTGATGGGAGGGCGTTCAACAGGGCAGGCTCCACCACCGAGAAGGTCCTCTGCCTGGTTCCCTGTAACCTCACATTTCACAGTGAGGGAACCACCAGAAGGCCCTCGGAGCTGGACCTCAGTAATGGACCTGTAATGGTTGCTGCAGAAGCAGGAGGGGCCTGACACAAATAGGATCTCATTCTCCAGAGATTACATAATTCACCAAACCCACATGTCAGACAGGGGCTTCACATACACTGCTTCAAACAAACTTTCTATATAGAACATCCCACTATTTTTTAAAAAACCCACATCTTCCTTGCAGAAGCATAACTGCAGTCTTCTCATTCACACCCACTCTACCCAGTGGCGTAGCGTGGGGGGTGCAGGGGGGGCCGGCCGCACCGGGCGCAACATCTGGGGTTAGGGCAAATCCACAGGTTAGGGGGCGCAAATCCACGGGTTAGGGGGCGCAAATTACTTGCCTTGCCCCGGGTGCTGACAACCCACGCTACGCCACTGACTCTACCAACTAACAGGGTTGCACTGCCATGTTAGTTTTCCTACTCTAATGAAGCTGCTGCCTGTGAGCTTTAGAATCAGCCAGGGTACTCAAACCATATGATTTGTGAAGGGCCCAGAACTGCAGAGGGTTATATGCAGCTCTCTATAACTGTCTAGTTTGCCCTTCAAGCACATGATGATTGAGGATTACCAGGAATGGAATGATCATTGCACTGAACCACAAAGGAATCACAACATGACTATTAAATTGCCACAAAAGACTGGTGGGAGGAGGCCGGTTAATAATCACACGGAAAACATTCTTGCTTGAGCACATTGCAGTTTGCTGCTGTCTACAAATTGTGTGCTTGTAACGCACAAGTCATCAGACATCTCCTTAATACTCACCGTGCAAGAAATAAAATGAAATACTATGCAGTATTTCATCTGGATTTTGTGTTAGTCTTGCACTGGCTACAGAAAGGCACTCCGAGAAAGACAGTAAAAAAGGAGCAAGGTGGGGAAATGTGCCAGTTGAGTAAAAGGTAGCGTTTTACAGCAGTGAATTCAGCTAAGCAATTTTGACTATTTGTAAAGCCATATTTATTGCTTTTCACATGGAGCATTTCACGAGGTGATAATGGGCTCTATCACAACATTTCCTGGAACTAGGGGTATGTCTTATTTATTTAACTTTTTAAAATTACAGCATCTGCATATATTTGTGTGAGGTTTTCTTCAGGTTAAAGACCTCTTTTAAATACAGTGGAGTTTTCACTATAACAAAATGCAACTCCGTTAAAGGATGCAAACTGTTGTTCAGAGACAAACCATAAGATGGCAGGCTTAGCTATCAAAACACATATACACAAAGATAGAGGAGAGAGAGAGAGAGAGAGAGAGAGAGAGAGAGAGAGAGAGAATCTGGTGAGACAGTGGGGATTATTGTAACAAGCCCATCTCTTAGGTATTCCAGAACAGTAGTGTATTTTTATGTTGCAGGTAAAATGTCATGCTGGCATAAGCACAACTTGCAGACACAAAGCAAAATGGTTTGCCATGAGTGATAGATAATTTGCTTCCCCACAGAGCAAGAAAGGCCTATCACAATCTCAAGATACTTATTCAACAAAAATGAGAGCCCATAAAAAGAAAATAATGACCAATGAATGAATGAGAATAAAATTACTTCTCAATTACTTTTAAGTATGTTCAGAACATCCATTCCAAGGAAAATGTATGTGATACAAAACAGGTGGGACATGCAAACTGGCCTGCACATTAACAAAATGAAAATTCAGCTCAAGTGAGAGAAGAAACCAGTTGCCCATATTTTCTCTTATGCAATACAAACTTAGCACTCCAGTGAGAAGACGCCAGTGAGTCGGATTACAGGATGTTTTTTTATTGACTATTATACTGAATGAATGGGAAAGGTACCACAATCCTAGAAACTATAGTCCTGGTTGACTTCTGCATTCCAGGTGCTCTTGCCTCCAGTAACTGGCCACTGAATCAAATTTCACATTAGCCACACCCTTTTAGCCCCCTCAGAGGAAAAGAGAGTTACCTAATATTTTACATTTTACAAGACTGATACTGCTTGGCCACTACAGTGCTTAATGCCAAGCATACGGTATGCACTAAGAACTGTGCTGACAACAGCATCCTGGAGGGTTCAGAGTGTACGTTAGGTAGGCAAAATGTGTGGGACAAGAAACAAATCAGCTGGAAAATGAGCATTGGCCTGGGTGTGGGGTCAAGTCAGCAGTAGACTTTGTAAAGCCTTTCTTAAAGAGCTTGGCAATGATTTACAGAGAGATTGTGCCTTGACAATTAATGGCAGAAAGAAGGTTTCTGTCAAGCTGCTCCCTACAACTGGAACCAATAGAATGAGAAAAGGGGGTGGTATCAGATGAGTTAGTGTAGAATGTGAAAAGCACTGCAAATGTTAGCATCTGCTTGCAGAACAAAGAAATGCTTTAAAACGGGTGGCCAACTCCCAAGAGACTGTGATCTACTCACAGAGTTAAAAACTAGCAGTGATCTACCCCCTTTTTGGGGGTTCAGGTCAAAGTTGTTGTTGAGTTTTTTCCGGTAAAATGTTGAGCTTTTTTTAGGGGAGCCACAGTTGTTCAGCTTCTTTGGGAGGAGCCAATGATCTACCAGTGATCTACCTGGATCTACCTGTTGGACATGCCTGCTTTAAAACAAGGATGGGGAACCTGCGTGACACTTTAGATATTTCCATCAGTCCCCTCCCTCAGCCAGCACAGCCAATGATCAGGGATGATGGGAGCTGTAGTCCAGAAACATCCACAATTTCCCCATCCCTGCTTTAGAATAAAGACTAAAGCTTAAGGTCGATGCAGACTGTGGCAAGAAGCCATTGCAGGTTTTCAAGGAGATGAGTGATGCATTCATAGCAATGGGAGGGAACAATGAAATGTGTGTTTTAGTTTATGTGCTGTGCCCAAAGCAACTCACAGCAAACACCAGCTTGCTACCAAAAGATGCAAGTACTGTTATTTAGGTACCAAACAGTATGGAAATACTATCACTTGCAAATTTACTGATTAATTTGCAAGCCCTCAAGTGATGCTATTGTCCTGTGAGATTCTCCTAAGAATCCAACAGCCTTGGAACAAGCACACTTGCCTTGTCTGCTTTGATAGAATTCTGGCAACATCCAGTATTTAATAAGCATGCAGGAGCCAAGTTGTGATTTCAGCCTGCATAACCACCACGGAACTTTTATATTCCCTTAGTGAAGGTTCTTGGGTTGTTGTTTTTAAGCATGGCTCAAACCCAGTTACAAGCGAAGCTCTCAAGTTTATGATATTTGTGACGCGTAGGAAGGAAAATCTGCTGTTGAGTCATAGCAGAATTACTTCAGTCAGCTATAATACAAAGACAGAACAGATTATCCACCTTCAGAGCTAGTATCTGGAGACACCTTGATGGCACCTGAGGCTACCCTTTGCAGTGACAAAACTCTTGCACATCTTTGAGAGGTGCCGATCAAGAATAAAGTGCCACAACAGGAGTGCCTACTTCTCCAGGAAACTTTCAGAGCCCCTGTTGCTCTCACTGTGGCCCCCACCTTGTTCAACAAGCTTCCCAAAATGTAGGGTATATGGGAGTAGCCTTTAATGTGGTGTGAGATGCTGGAACCAGAGCAGGAAATCAAGATTGCACTCGTGCACACATGAACACGTGAGCGGGATTTCTTAAAGGCTCTTTGGATCCAGACTCCAGAGGACTTTTGGAGAAGGTGATTCTCCAGCTTGTAAAAGACTAACTTCCCATTTAAGGGCCATCTGGATATGCCCCAGGCATGTCAGCAAGGTATATTTTATTTCCAGCAAAGGTTATGTGTGTCACTCTCAAAGAGAATATATATCCTTGCAAAGCAAGATTCACAATGAGTCCAGAAGGGACATAATGCTTACATCTGCAACTGGAATTTATCCAGCACATGCTGTTCCAGAAGCATTTGTATATTAGGGCTTGGGACTAAGGGCCAGTTCACAAGTACTTGATTAAAAAAGGATGAGTGTGAACTTATCAGAATGTGCATGCAAGGTTCTGGGCAACTGTTTCTGTGATCACAGATTTTGGAGGAAATGCAACCACAATTATCAGCATGTACAGCCGAGTTCACACTGACCTTTTGTGGTCTTGCACCGACACATGTAGTCATGCGGAAGAATTGCCCTCCACAGAATTGTTTCTCTTCCCTGGTTATGCCCCCATGTCTGCTGCTTGCTTGCTTGCTTGCTTGCTTGCTTGCTTGCTTGCTTGCTTATAGCTCTCATATATAATATGGACCTGATCATCAGGACACAAATTGCTTGTGAAACTTCATTCTACAACAGTCCTGTGAAGCAGATGACCCACCAGGACCCACAAGTACTGTTATGTAAATGACATGGAAGATGGGGGAGTCCTGCCCTTTGCCTGCTTTTTGCTTTTTGAAACTGCAGACCTTTCCCTCAAGAGGTGGTAGATTTCAAAAGAGCATGGGAATGTCCAGAACTAAAATGCATTGGTTATTAAGAAGCTCCTCACCCTCCTTCTATGGCCACTAAATCTTTCTAAAAGCTTACTATGCAGACATTGCCTATGAATAGCAGAGAGCCCTGCAGGGCACAGCCCATTCATCACCTGGGAGCTCCAGTTAAAAAGGATTGAGCAAAAGTGATGAAGTGATGAGAAAAGCACCGCAACTCAGAGTAGACAATCATCTGCTAGATGTACAAGAGTCACCTGGTGTAAGGCAGCTGCACGTACCTCTGGAAAAAGCAGTAACAGAATTATTCAGAAGGCCCAGCAGAGGGAGTGCAACACTGTTAATTTCATGCGCAGAGAGATGGTGGGTGGTTTCCTTTGAGTACTAAAAGCCAGAGAACACAACACACTTATGTGA